GCTACACTCTTTCTGTTCACCCATCCCTTTGCAAAGGTTGGCTCCCATTTACCAGCTAGACAGCTGAGGAATCAAAATATTGCCCCATTCTTATGCCTCAGTTGGGGATTTGAAAGTTTCAGGCTCCTCAGTTCTCATTGCTCTACCTTGGGAAGTCATTACTCCTCTTGGGAACTTCTCCATCACTGGTAGTTCACATCTGTGCAAATTGTAGCTATCAGGCTTGAAGAAAACTGTTTTAATAGATCCCTCATAATTTAAGCATGTAACAAAGATTAAAATGTGCCTTGGAGTTATGTTTCACATGAGATTTTAGTGTTTTAAGACACTCAGTTCTTTTTATTCACATTTTAGGACTCATATACAACTTTTCTGGTGTAAATCCCTCATAAAATTACTTAAAATTCCTTAAAGGTCTTGCAAAAATGGTCAAAAAAAAAAAAAAGAAGAAAAAATAAAAGTATTATTATATACTCATTATATCTGCATGAATGTAAAAGCATACTTGTTCAAATGCAATTCCAAAACAAACTACATTTACTATTTATAAGGAAAAAATTGTAGAGCATAATATCAACTTTCAATCCTCTTAAATGATATGTCACTGTCCCTCAGAAGATGTCAGATCCCTTGCCCAGGACCATTACCATTATCTTCTGTGCTAGCACCAATATCTGTAGAAACACACAAGACTTTAGCACTTCATCAGAAGTACAGAGGGTCTGTGACAGGAAAATGGTCTACTGGTTCTACTGCAACCTAGTGTTCTGCCCAGATTATTGAATTAAGTATAAATTAGTGAAGTTTTGACTATACTGTCCTTGGAGATACTTAAAAGATGTGCAGACATGGTGCTCAGGGCCATGGTTTCATGGTGGATTTGGCATTGTTAGGTTAATGGTTCAGCTCAATGACATTAAGGGCCTTTTTCAACCTAAATGTTTCTAGGATTCCACTTATCTTTAATTTTAGATTATAGTAATGGTTTGGGGTTTTAAAGGAGGGGGGTTAACTTAAAGTACAAATGCTACCTCAAATCATAACTCCTAGGCTTCTCCAAGCACTTATTTCTCTTGATTTCTTCTTTAAAAAACCCCTACACTAGAAATTCAAAACCGCCAAACAAAATTGAAACCATCTCTCATCCAGACTTGACACTCAAATTCTTATTCTCCATATAAGCGCATAGCTTTCACTAAATCAGAGAGCTGCATCCAAAAGCTGAATTTGATTCAAAGATAGTCTAGTATGAGCACTGACTGCTGTTCTACTTTTTCCTCAGCCTTAGTTCCTTAGACCATGCAGCAAGGTGAAGACCTTTGTCTGCTCAGACTGAACTTTATCTTTAAAAGACTTAGGCTTTGGTCCACACAAACTGCTTTTTTTTCCTCACCTTCCCAATAGCACTGGCTAAATTATCAGAAAACATGAAGGCTACCTGGCAATTCATGTGTTGCTTCTCATTCTGTGCAAGGAACAGATATCTCAAAATTATATCCAAGGAATCTTCAAAATTACAGTAAGATTTATATTAATCCTCATCAGTTATGGATATTTTCATTATCTTTAACCCATTCCTATCTGGTTTTGAATATTTAGGTAACATACACCATACTGCAATCTTCTAACTGGGACAGAAAATTTTAACTTTGGTGCTATCAGTGAAGTTCTTCATCCTTATGGATCCTTGTGGAAAAAAAGGAAGAGGGAGGACATAACAAAAGGAAAACAAGCCTGTTTCCATAGGGAGGGAGGGGGAAGTCTCTCAAAACATGGTTTCTTTAGATGTCCATACTAATTAAAAGGAACATTGGAGAATAAATTTAGTTTTAAGAACAATTAAATAAGGAGGATCAAAAGATGTTTTCTAAGCTACTCCTTAACCCTTGAGAGAAGTCCTGGCTACTGTTGGTTTCCAGTCAATAGGCTATATGCTGACAAAAGGGAACACTTTGGGAAAGGTACAGTCCAACAGCCCTAGCTGAGAGGACCTGAACAGAAATAAACAGTCATTCCTTAGCACTCAACAATAAACTGTCTGGCTTTCTCAGCATTATATGTAGAAGCCACACTTACCTTCTCTTCACTTATCCATTAAAGAACCAACATTTTCATGACTCATATTTAATCATTTTTTGGCAGCTCAGTCTGACTTGAACCAAGTCAAAACCCCTAAGCAGAAATTCACAACCAAGAAATTAGAGTGAAACAATGCGGACTTTTGGAAAAAGGAAAATAATATCCTCAAGAAATAACTCGTACCTGGAACTCACTGAAACACCTACAGCCCTTAAGCATACATGTATTTCCAGCCTATTTTCTCTCCATGATACAAAGCTATGTCTTGCTGAGTTGCAGGCAAACAAGTTGGTATGAAACACTGGGAAATTGCTCGGTCAAGATGATGGACAGCCTCATGTAGGTGACTCCTTGAAGCAAAGGAGGCAATGCTGTACCTAAGGCTGCCACTTACTGTCATAAGCCCTGCAAGCTGAGTTAGAATTGCCAGAGGAAGAGAGTGAATGACACCAAAGGTGATGGAGAAATGCCAGAATATGGAACTTAGAAGAAATCCTATCTATTTATGATTTAGGTTAAATGCAATGAAAATAAGGAGAATATATTCCACTCCAAAAGGATCTGCAGAACAAGGACAACATGGCAGGAAAGCACAAAAATCTCTAAAAAAAGACTACTTTTTAATTCTAAAATCTCCACTATTTAACACTAATCTTAGAGTTTACAGGACTACCTCCATGCTGTGATGTCCCTTCAGTAAAATTTATTCACCTAGCTACCAGTACTCCAGGTTTAGTAAAATGCAGCACTGCAATACGTACACACAATTGCCACAAAAAAAACCAATCCCTAACCAATCACTATGATCTTCCAAAAATAATATACCACAAACACTCTTACATGACATATTTAATGCTTCTTTTCAGCACCCTCCTGAACGTATTTGGATAAGATTGTTTGGCTGTACTGTAGTTCCAAATCTATCTTTATCTCATTGTACACAGACCAATTCAGAAAGTACATGCTGGCTCCTGGAACTGCAAACCACCTGACATAATTCTGGAGTTGTAACTTTGAAATTCCTGAAAGACAATGAAGAACAAAACTGAAATGAAGCCCACATCATGCAGAAAAATTGCATCCTGTAAAGGATGCTAGGATATACTACCCAGAGAGAAACTTCAGCTTCACACAGCAGCAATGTAGGGCAAAAAAAAGACCTGATTTCAGAAGTTACTAATCCCTAAAAACATCTTCCTAAAATAATGTTTTTACTTTATGGCATTCTTCTACACAATTCATTTTTGTTATTGTTAATGTTGTTCTGTTATATTAATTTTGAACAAACTGTAATCACTTGTTAATAACAATGCAACAAGATGAGTTTGCAGTTGCATTTGTATGATGCCATGGACATTGGAACTAAAGCTCTGTTTTATCATTCATTAAATTCACGTGAGAATTTCTAATTTTAGACCATGGAAACCAAGCACTTGAAAGCCACCACAAGAAAGAGACCATTAGATCTCTTTGAATGCTGGATGCATTAGGATATGAGAAGGGAAGGAGAGTGGGAAGGCTCCTGAAGGCCAGACTGTCCCATACATCACCTTTCTTTTGCTTCCAGTCTGAATTTTCTGAGAGCATCTATGGCCAGTTTTCTCCCAGAAACTTTTAATTGCACGTTTCTGTCCTTGTCTTCTATTCAAGTACTTTTATGTGACTGCACAGCTACTGACATAGAACATAATTCCTGTAGTACTGGTTTGTTTCTTTTACACCTCCAAACCTGGTCTTATCTTCAACGCCTTTGCATGAAGCCCCACATACTATTTGAATCCTTGCTTTCCATAATTTAGCATTTCTGGTTCTTACAAAATCCTTTTTTTTTTCTTCTTTTTTTTTTTCCTCAATGTGTTATTTGAGTTTTAGCAGTTAAATACATCAAAGTGACATTTTTAAATACAGCTATATACGTCAGTCTAAGAAAACTCATATGAGCAATCTACCACAACTATGCATTCGTACGCAGTCTCTATTTAGTATGAGATCATCCAACAGCAAAGATCCCTTGGAATGACTGTTCTCCCCTCAAAATACTGAAGAAACTCTTCAAATTTACAGCCTAAGTTTCCTGGCTAGATAAAAAACACGTGCATCCATTTGGGCCACAATAGAGGAAATCAGCTTTTTAATCATATGGCACACCTTTTCCAAATCCTTCTCCAAACCCTATCTTTGCCAGTTATCTTTTATGTGCAAAGAACAGAACATAAACCTCTCATTACCTGTTTAACTCCAAAATGTCAGATAGCTAAAATTTGTTTCCAGAAAATTGATCCCTTATAGTATGATTTTCTCCTGGTTTATTCCATGATACCCAGAGATACCAATGATACTGCTGCATTCTGCTGCACCACAACAGAAAGAGGCAATAAGAAAATACATCTTCCAACAGGGTGATGGAGCAGGCTGGGTGCTGCCCCTCTCTGTTTCCCTTGTACTTTACAACTGTCTAAGCAGCATGGAAAAAACCCTCCATAATGCTTGGGAGGTCACAGCCACTCATCACTGCAAGAAAGGAGAGAAACACAGCTCAAAAAACTACTCCTGCTACATCCAACCTGTTTGCAGCAGCTCCTTTGTAAAAGATGACCACAGTCCAAGAAGTTATTTTGTTCTGTGCCCTCTGACAGTTATCCTGTAAAGGCTTTAGAATGCCTTTTCTTTCTTAGAATTAGAGATTTGCAGTGTAATCTACAAGAAAAGGTAAACGTCGGGGAGACTATCAAGATTCCAAATATTCCAATTCATTCTGCTCCATGGTAAGTATTAATCTTCCCTAAACTTTCTTGCATAACATGAAAGAATCACAGGACCAAACTCAGAAGAAAGTTCAAAGATGCTTTACACAACAAGTTGATGCAGACCTGCAAGAGCTTCCAAGCAATAAAAACAACTTTTGGATACATTTCCTTTACCTCTCAGGATGTAGTTCTGATAATTCTGGTCAGCTTCTGCTCCCACTTTGATTAAGCAAGTCAGACCTTCTGCAATAACAAACTCATGAACCAAGTCCTTGTCATCCTGTCACAGGAGAAAGGAAAAGCTGAATTAGATTTTTGAAAGACAAAGAAACATTATATCATAATGTAAAAACAAATGCATGCCTGCAACACTGATTTTATGTTTCACATGTTGTAAGCAAGTTGATATGACCATTCTTATACAGAGGACCAAAAGCAGGATTTTGAGTTTTAAAATCAGAATGAAACACATCAGTGCAAAGCAAGAAAAAACAAGTTTTAACCTTTCAGTCAACTACAGAAAATTAAAATCTGCAAAATATGACTTTCAATTTTTTTCACTGAAGGCTTGCAGACATTCTCCACAATACTAAATCTCATCATATCACATAAACAAATATCCTTAAAGCCCTAAAATGTCAGGATCAACAACAGAACACCATCTGTATTCCTTAGCATAATTTCAGTTTCAGTATTTTAGGCGTGTACAGCAAAACTTTAAAACTGGTTTTATTGCAATGTAATATTATACTTACTATCTTAACATAATACGAATTCATTATATTTAGAAGGGGAAAGAAACGTGTTAAAGATAAGAATGCTAGAAGACAAAATGCCCACAAGGTGATGGAGAACAGCAAATACAAGAGAAAATTTCACATCAGTTTATACTTGCTAAAATGGCTCAGTGTTTCTTCACTATCAGTTCTTTCCTCAGGGCAGAAGAATTATTCCATGAAGTGACACCAGGGTGAGGAGGGGTTTCCTGGGTCTTATATAAATAACTACTATGCCAAGAGAATATACAAGGCTCATGCAGACAAACAAGAAGCTACTAAGAATTAAGATTAAACAGCCCTTAATGAATTAGCTGTGCAAATTAGGCACAAGACAAATTCAAGATATTAATGGGAGAGAATTACTCTGCAGACAATCCCAGTTGCTGACTCCCTTTTTTCAATTTATGTTTTCATACTAACAGTGTAACAGACATAAATTCCAGCTTTCCAATAACGCAGCCCCAATAACCCAAGATCCATAGAATACATTTCTTGAGAGTGATTTTTGAATTCATGGCAAACACTTAGCAAACTGCCCAGGGAAATCAAATAATCAAGCCCCTTTTAGTGGAACATTTCACTTACTGCAAGTTTCTTTCAGCTGGATAGTTTATTTATTATTAATTTCCTTCCTTCACAAGAGATAATTTACATAATTCCTACAGTCTGACCAAATGGGATATTAATAATTGGAAGGTGATCTAACAGTTTGTGAGAAGTTCAGAAATTATGAGGAAAAAAAAAATCCATTTCATGTTTTAGCTGGTCAAATTTGTTAAAACAATTTTAAAATATATTATATAGTCATGTACAGATACACAAATTTATCACATGATAAAGGTGATTTATCCTGTAAATAAAGCATAAAATTATACAAAGTGGAAGTATACAATCATACCCCACATCTTGGTGAAAGTATATCTTAAAAGCCCAAAATGCCTAAGATAAAATTCACCTCTGCCTATGTACTCTTAAGCTAAAAATTCTTTTTATTTCTTAGTCTCAATGTTTTATCTTTTAAGAGTGCTATTTTTTTTCAGTAGCTAGATAAAAGCCTTAATAGTGTTTTCTGAAAAGCTAAGAACTTTACAAACTCACATGTCAGACCAAGGCACTACAGATATAAGCATACAATTTTATGAAGACAAACTTTCCTCTATGCATTTTCACCACCAGGTATCCCATGTATCTCCTTGTTATAGGGTGTTTTTAACTCAGATACCTGAATAATTTCTTATTTAAGAATTTTGAATCCTGTTTTTCCTAAAACTCAAGAGAGGAAACATATCCATGGAATCTCCCAGCCAAGCTTAATGTAAAGTATATTACGGGCTCAGGTAAACTAAGGCTATGTGTCATGGTAATGAGTAGTTTAATTTAAGAGGAAAAAATATAAATAACAAATCTAATCATTGAGTGAAATAATCACATTTTTTTTTCCAGATGGTAATGTTATCCTAGCTCACAAACAGTTCCTTTTTCTTTAAATGCCTTTTCTGTATACTTGAGCACACATTTTTATTTTGCATCAAGTGTGTTTTCATCCTCGAGTTAAGGAAAAAAGGAGTCTATTCTGGATTGACACACAGTGAAACAAAGAACATTGGAAAACAGAAAAAAGTAGGAATAACTGTGGTCTGCAGATTCTGATTTATTAATAGACCTACAATGTCTGTTTGGGAAAAATAAATGACATTTGGATTATGAAAAAATAAAAAACCTATATAGCAGAGAAGTTTACAGTAGTTCAGATTTACAGAATTTCAGAGACTGAATCCATAAAAACAAAATAAATTTTTTAATATCATTTAGCAATTAAGAGCTGCTGACATTCACTGAAAGATAAAAACTGAAACACCCACTGTAACTTTAGGATGTTACAGTGTTACAGATGTTAGAATCTTGAATAGTGAATACATATTAGTGCATCACCTGGGGAAAAAAACAGAAATTAGCATCTGATTGTCAAAATAAATCAAGCTAAAAATCTGGTTTTATGTTGATGATATGTATTTAGTTGTTTGTTTGTTTGTTTGTTTATTTAACATGGACCTTTCCATAGCAAATTTTGAGATCTCTCTTCTGGAACATTTTTAAAGCAACCAAGTCATAGAGTCACCCTAAACTGAAAGGAGATATATTGCAGGAAAACAGCAGAGGAAATAGAGGGGATGAGGAACTCCAACCAGACTGCTTTTGGAAAACACTGAATAAACAAATCAAATCTGAATTTAAAAAAAGGCTTTTAAGATACTTCCCCTTTTCCCAAATAAAAAGGAGAAAGAAGGTGTAATGAAGTAGAGTACAAACACATCATGCATTAGACATAAATCTCAACTCAGTACATTATCTATTCTATCATGTATATACGATGAGAGGAAAGAAGCAAACATCTGGAATGTGCAGTGAAAGATGAAAGGCATGCAAGCCTATAAGTTCTACACTGAAAGGAGAATGTTTACATCAATTTTGGTCTAGGATAATCTTTTCAGACCCATTAGCTCACTGACTTGCCAAGTTAGGTGACCTCAAGAGTAAAGGCTACTCTCTAGCAGTGGTTAAGAGGTTCAGGTTTCCAGGAAGAGAGTATTCATTGTTCAGAATATATGGCATGAGCATGACAATGATACCTACAAGTATATGCCACACGCGTGATAACAGCTAGGAGGCAGGGAAATGTTGCCATTTGCTATGGAAATATACTCCTCTGCTAATATTGCAAAGATTTATGGGCCCTTAATCAGCAGGCATTAAGGCACTGATGAGAAAAGCAGCAAAACAGGCAAAGCTCTCTAAGCTTACTGCTAAGCCCCTGCAACCATAAAGATTGTGCAGTGACACAAAGGCTGGCTACTTAAAGTCTTTATGAAAAGATCCCATTGGCCTCATCAGATAACTATATTTTGCTTGTTTATTCACCAACTCAAATTAGATCACGTCTCTTCCTTTTTTTAGGCATCTTGAAGGAAGACAAAACAAGATATTGTATGTCTGTGCAAGAGATGTCTATTTTCATCCAATGTATAATGGAAAAGACACTAAATATACCCAAAGCAGTGACTTTAAAACTTGCTTATATGGTTGACAAAATGAACAAACCATACTTTTTCACCTCCATAACTCAGCCTAGCAACTAAAAAGACCCCACAACCCCTGTGATCATGCAGTCTGTACCATAGACTCCTGTGCCACTGGAAGATAGTGGGGGGTATTGTCTCCTTTCCCATATGCTTGCATCATTTGACATATTTTCTAATGTAGTTTTGCAGGGTCTTACCTGCAGATGGAGACTGAAGACATTTTTCTGAGGAATGGCACTTTGCAAGAACACGCTTCATCTGATGTGCAACTTCCACGTGCAAAGATAAATTGTTTATGTACTGTTTAAGATAAATCTTTCTGAAGCCTGCTGTTTCTGTGGGCCATATGTTTGAAAGTTTTTACCCAAAGCATCATTATTTTTATGCCACAAGAAAGTTGCTTCATTTCCTAATAAGAACTGAGGTTTTGGAACACAAGTTTCTCAAGGGGATTTTTTTTTTTTTTTAAATCTAACAAGCACTGCTGAAAGCTTCATTCCAAGTATTTGGGGAAACTGGATTAGTAAGTGAATATTCACACTTGGATATGCACATATGTATTTCTTTCTTACGTGCCTAACAGCTGTGCAGAGTACTGTCTTTCCAAGGAATCATAAAACAAAACAAGTTACTTGTCTGTAAGATTTCCACCAAGAAGAATCTAATTTTTATGTTTTGAGCTTCAACACCCCCTTCCTTTAATAATCTATCCCATTGTTTCTGTGTGCTTAAGCATTCCCATATTTAATTCTATCTTGTACAATTCTCTCCTGTTTCTGTTACAAAGTTAAAGACTGCACATTTTATAATGTTCATTTCTCTAAATAAGGAAAACCATGAGTTTCCCATGGTTTCCAGGTTCCCCAGACTGTGGTCTCCACATGACACACTATTGAGAAAGCCAGCAATCACATTCCGTACTGACCAAACCTTCCAAAGTGCAAAAGTTGCTGTGATCCAGCCTAAAAATGAGAGCAGCACAGGCAGAGAGAGTACCAGAAACAGACAGGAGAATCTCCTCACTAAGCTTTGCCTATGGGTTTACAAGAGTTTACAAATTCAAACTGAGCTCCCAGTGATTGATGCATTTCACTGTCTGCTAGAGGAAGAGCTTCCCTCTTTGCTCTCTCACTCTACAACATCGCTATTAAGAGATTTAAACTCTGATCATCATGTCAGCTCTGGTTTTATCTGTAGACCAAAAATTATAGCTTCACAAAGATATACTGCATTCACATTTCAACACTGTGATAATTCATCTAGGCAAGAGGTAAGATGAAAATTGCCAATTCACTGGGCAGGCACCATGCATAATAGGAGAACTATACACCTGACTTAAAGAGGAGGATCATCCTCCTCTGCTGCCTGAAATCTTTGGGAACAAGATGCTGGCAGCATATCAATACAGAAAGAATCCTACG